TCGGGAAAAACTTCCCAAATCTTTTAATAATATAAATATTAATGTATTTGAAATGTTTGAAAATGGGTTTCATTTCACTCGAGGTATATTGTTTCGTGAACATTTACCTCACTTTTATTACAGGGCCGTAACTACATTGAGGCAAATGCCTAATGTTGGAAATTTCAAAACAAAAGCTTGTCTTCATATCAAATTGTTTTCACGGCAAGTGTCTTGCAAGAAGCAAGTTCTGTTTACCCTCTGACGTAGCCCCTGTTTTTTGAGATCCATGTTTCTCATTTATTTTTATTTTTCAGTGTTGATTGTCTATAATGTTTTGTGTTTTATCTGTTCCCGGGTTTGTCTTTTGTTCATTGATTGCCCTTCTTTATGACTATTCTCTTAGTGTTGCATTCTATTTGTAATTTAGTAATTATGTTTTAAACTTGAGTTTTATGATATTTAAGGACCTTTTGTCTATTACAAACTACTTTAAATTGTATCCCAGTTAGGAACTACATCAAGTTATAATTGAAATGTGTTATAAAAACTGACTTGACATAGTTATATCAATGATAATCAGCCCCCTTTTAACTTAATTTTAAAAAGATCATAATTGACAGGCATAAAAGGTTTTTCTGCAAACTGAAACATTTTTTGCTTTGTCCTACATATTGGTCTTTTGATGCTGTCCCTAAAAGTACACTAAATCTATATATTTTGCTTTGAGACCAGAATATTGTCAAAAAATTAAAACAGAATTTGCGTTTCAGTTTAAGAAAGGGTCTGGGAAACGCGCATAATGCATGATTTTGTGCCATTTTTTCTATAGCTTCTTGGGGCCTTCAGCGAACACCAGACTCTTCGCTGATTTTTTTTTGTCTCGCTCCGCTCGGCGAAAATGTTTGGCAACTTTTAAAAGAGGCTAGTTACAGCCCAGCTTTAATACCTTGTACGTATGCAATATATGCAATTAGCAATTCAGAAGATTAACTTCCAGAGGATGATGATTAATTCTGATTGACTTAATTGACTATGTTATTTATTTAAGAATTTAAAAATTGTATGTTTTCAAATATTATAAATATAATTGTGAAAATAGATAATCAGTCCCTTGTTTTAATGAAAATGAAAAATCATGCTTCAACAGTGCAGAAAATAAATAATCTGTCCTTTTGGTCCACAAAAATAAATGACCCATCCAAAACAAATCCTCGCTTCTGTGACATCGTGACAACACCGCCTGCACCGTGTCAAGCGCCCTAGACCACTCGACCACCTAGGCTACATAAAAATATAGCTTTCGGTGGTCATGTGTATAATAGAAATTAAAATTTGATGTGGCGGCATGGTAATTAACATTATCATCCTTTACGAAAGACAAAATAGCTGATCTGAAAGGTACACCATCTACTTGCCACTATAAATCATGTACTTTGTTACAACCCTAGATAAAGCGAAGCTATATTTTATGTAGCCTAGGTGGTCGAGCGGTATACGGTGTAGGCGGTGTTGCCACGATGTCACAGAAGCAAGGGTTCAAATCCCGCTGAGGGAAGAACAAAAATTTGAAGATCTAACATTGTTGGACTAAATTTGAGACGAATTATATATATATATATATATATATATATATGGATTGGAGGGATAACGGAAAAAACACGCTTAGGCCTATTCCCTTTTAATATATGACTAAAAATTGGTTTTAATATAAAAAAAAAAACTTGATGGTCTCATTAGTTACTCAAGATTTTCAAAAAAATTCATGGATGTCTAGTTAATACTTTTAAAAGAGTTGCAACTACATAGCACAAACGACAGACGAAAAAAAAATATCCCTCTATATCAAAACCATTATTCATACCGACCATTTCAAAATTCAAAGTTGCATACTGCCATAAGGTACAAATAAATTGCAGAGAGGTTTCCTGAAAACCATATAAAAGTTTAAGAGGAGATGCGTTAAGTAGATAACCGTCTGTGAAAAAAATATCATATTAATAAATGATACAAAGTCCATGTTTAAAACTAGAAATAAACTTCCTCGATAGATTTATTGTAAAATACTATATCGTTCTCAAAGTTTGATTAAAGTAATTCACGAATGCTATAGTACTTTTTCAAAGGTATTGGATGGAAACTTACTAAAATTTTTGAATTTCATTTCTTTGAATTCTATCTTGTCCGTTGTAATTACAGTCTGCCCCAATTAAATGTTTACCATGTTGGTACAATTTAAATGTGCGATAAGCAAAGCTTTATTAAATCTAGATATATGTTGTTTCTGTATACCTATAGTCGATTGTTTTTACTTTTTGGTCTCTGGTGGATAGTTGACTCATTGGAAATCATACCCATATCTCATTATTTATATACTAAGGCTCTTAAAAGATATTTTATTTAAGTTCCTCACTTTCATATTCAAGAGCTCATTCAAGATATTTGTATTTCTAATGGCTATGTTCCCACAACCATTTTACGAACACCATCATTACTATGTAAACCGTTACGGAAACAAACTATTAACCTAGAATCAATTATGAGTCTTCACCCACATTGGGTCGATGCCCTGCTGGTGGATGTTTCGTCTCAGATTATATTAGCAGTCTATTAGTCAGCATTTTTGTGGTGACAGGAACTATCATTGGTATGTTCATTTTCCGTAATATTACTGTTCATAAATGATGAATTATTCGAAACACTAAGGTTTTTCCAACCCCTCATTGATTTCCTTAGCCGTATTTTGCACACATTTTCGGAATTTTCATTATTCAATGCTCTTCAACTTTGTAGACAAAACGCTCGTCTGGCGTACCAAATGATAAGCCTTGTATGAATTTTTACAACCACTGGGTCGATGCCAATGTGTGTGAACGTTTCGTCCCCAAGGGTATTAACACCATAGTAGTCAGAACTCTTGTGTTGACATGTAATAACATTGATATGTTCATTTTCTGTAAATTTACTATTTATCAAATATCGAATCATTCGAATCACTGAGGTTTTTCTCTCTCCCAGTCATAGATTGCTATAGCCGTATTTGGCACAACTTTTTGGAATTTTCGGTTTTTAATGCTGTTAAACTTTGCATTTGATTTAGCTTTAAGTTTTGATACCAGCACCACTAGTCAGTCCTATGTAGACGTAACGCGCGTCTAGCATATCAAATTATGAGCCTGATATCTTTGTATGAGTTTTTTCTCTTTCTTTACTTTTGACTATTGTCGGAATTTTAATTATCATTAGCAAAAACACGTTTTTTTCAAAAAATTTTCAGTATCCCTTCCATTTACAAACTCATTATATTTGAAGCCCTCAAAACTCAAAAATAATAATTAAAGGATTATTCTAAGTCTACGACCTTTTGCGTTTATATAATTGAGTGGTGCTACTTTGCGTCGTCAGTGTCCGTCTGTGGACATTGTTTTCTGTGTAATCTCCTAAACAATTTGCTAAAATGATCCATGGAACTTAATAAAAGTCTATCGATTTTGGTCATTTTAGAAAATTCTGTTTCCGTGAAAAAGTAACTTAGGTGCCCTTAGAGCTTTCATTTATCCTTTAACTTTGAATAAGATTTTGATGCATTTGTTGTATAATTTCTTTTTTTTTTTATATTAAAAAAATCTTTATCTGGTTTATATTCCTTGATGAAGGTTGCCGGGCAGATCAAACACAATAGCTTTACCTTTTATGCTGTTCAGACTGATCTTTATGCGTTTTCTTCTTACGGGTGATAAGTAAATGAAATAGTAACTTAATGCAACTGCAGTTTACCGATGTTCAAATCTCATAAATCAATTAAGAAGACAAATCAATGTAGCAAACAAAATCTGAGTTTGTGATTAGATCAGTTTAAGAGGAAACACCAATGTTAAGTCAATGATATTTGGTTTGCAGTTGTATTTTAATCTGCAAGTCTCTTTTCCATGAAGATTATATGGCCCCACCCCCTCATCAAGGATCATTGACTGAAACTTTAAAATTGTTTACAAGTTAAAGTTTATGTTTAGGTTAATGTAAGGAAATCACTCTGACAATAGTATTTGGTAAGCAAGTTTATAAGCATTGGCATTTCTCATTTTTATGGTTATTTGGTCCTGCACCCTAAGTCATGGTTCATTGACTTTGAATTTTTTGTATAGTTTACATGTTTAATATTCACATTTGGATTCAATATTTGTATCATATTATCAAAATTACAAAAAGGCGAGACAACAGCTTATTGTCAAATTTTATTACATTCTGAAAGGCCACAAAAAGTTTTAAATTGTCTGATGTTAAAGTTTGACGCCGGAACATGACGTGACACTGGAATGAGCAAAAGACTAGTTTCACGAGTCATGGACTTTTCTTTAAACACAGAGAATGTTACCATAAGAGAAATAGGTTTAAAAACTCGTGTGAATTGGACAATGCTTGATATCAAATCTCGTTATTCAATTTTTAAATAGTAATAAGAAAAATTCGCCAAAGGTTAGCTTATCACTCCACTAGTTATGAAACTTAAACTTTTCGGATCATAAAATTTCATAATTTTGCTAAAATTCAGGTTCCAATTCCTTTTGCAAAAATGACTTGATTGAATTTGACTATTCTTTTTCTGTCCATTTAGGTCATATAGCGCCTCGTGTAGTCAAGGAATTTAAATATCATTGGTTTTCAAGTTTTAGGGTTTGAAGAAGATAGATCCGGACGCAACATATCTAAAAATATTTCATTTGATTTGGAAAACCCACAGCTTGGAAAGTTTATCGTAACGATTTTACTCTTCTATTTATGTGTCTCAAAGTTATATATGATTGGCTATCCAAAACTTTGGTCTCGTGGGCTCGTGCTTCTGGTCAATTATTGCTTTTCAAGAAACATATGTTGTGCACAAGGAGATCAAATTACACGGTTTTGCTTATATAAACACAGTACCGCTGGCTCAGAATGATATGGGCCTGTTACGTTTCACACCGTATATCTCAACAGAGCTTGGTCCTGGATACTGTTTTATCAAATAATGAACACCAATGGAAAAGAAAAAGCATGTATTGACAATTCCCTAAACTTGGTTATAATATAAACACTGGTAAATTATACCAAAAGGATAATATAACAGGAAAAATGAAAATAATAAAATATAGTAAAACAACGTTATAAATTGTATATTCGTTGGTGGTATTAACTATAAGATTTCTGTCTTTTACAGTGTAACAGCTTACATGCTAGACAGACAACTATATGTATGAAAGATCCACATTATGACCAGATTCACACTGAGCGATGAAATCATTAAATGTTTCCAACGAAACACACACACTCTTGCAATAAAAATCTACAATATGTTCATATAAGTATGAATCCTGTTTTCGGTGGTTTTTTTTTTAACAAAAACAAATTGCATGCCTACCCTAATACATCTTATGGACATTTTTGGTCAAGCACGGTTTAAAGTCTTAACATTTTTGGTTAACATATGTTAAGTCTATAGAACATCGTTCTACATAGTACATGTTAAATATAAAAAAATACCCACTTATGCTATTTGTTTCTGCCAGACGGCTAAAACAGTTCTATATCATATGGATCGAGGATGGAGTCTAGACGATCTAAATATCTGACTTAAATCGTGACCAACTACAAGATTTAGTGATAAACAATGCAACAAGTGCCATATGATATCATTACCCTTCCCAAACGTCTGATTCAACAACGGGTTTTACGGGAGGTAGACTATTACAAGCTTCAGACTCATTGTTGTCTGTTGCTTATGTACATGTCATTGTCACTGCATGTAAATTAATCTTCGTCTATTTGGTTTATCTCGGCCTTGGATTGTCATACGTTTGGTACGGTTCTCGTCAAGGATTTCTGAGTATAGAAACACAAAATATAAGCAAACATAATTGTCAAAAATGAAAGACAGAAACAATTTATTTTTAGGATATCTTGTAGAACTTAGGAATAGCAATGCAACATCTTTGCTTTAAAGCAAATGGGAACATATATCTGACAGATTATTGGTACATATGTATATACAATAAATAAAAATCTCTCTTTCTCTCTTTCTCACTCTCAGTTACATGTGTGTCATACATTTAAAAGAACACAATTTCTATACATATATGACCATTGTGCATGTGAATAGAATTATATAGTCTATAAAAAGTCTACAAATGTCCTTCCTATTTCTTGATAACAGAAAATCATTCATTTCCTCCTTTGATAGATTTAAGAACATTTGTCCAAAATTTTTCTTGTACGTCAGGTTCTTCCGACCACGTGATGTACGTTGTCAAATCAACTAAGTCACGTAAGGAATGTGGCATATCTTTCTTTTGAATATTTTCAAGCATAATGATTATTAGAGATCCATTATCATCATTTAAAAACTTTCTCTGCGCAAGTCTTGTTTCAAATAAGCACCAATCGCTCGTCATCATGGTACGAGATAATACTAATATAATTTTTCTACTTTGTGCAATACAGTCGGCAATATTGTCGACAATGAGCTTCCCTACTTCAAAATCGCGATGATGAATACATAATGTTTGATCGTTTTCTTCCTCCACTATTTTAAGAAACTTGGAAAAGACCCAATGTCTATCTTCGTCACTGTATACTACGAATCCAGAATACAGGGAACTGTCGCCACTGTTAAGTGAAATGTACCCTCTTTGTTTGACCCGCTGTAGGTAGATCCAGTATCTAATATGCCATCTACCTTTATAAATTAAACTAACCAATATAACACTGAAGATGCCTACCAGTGATAACACTATAAATGACTGCAATGCTGCGTTCATTTTTTCCGGGTAACACTCGTCGTCGGACGGAAAATAATCTTTCAATTCGGTATTATGTAGTTCTGGCGGATTGATACAAAGGTAATTTGCTGGATATCCTTTAAATATATGTGGTCTTTTCAATCGCCAAGAATGAATCCACTTACGAAACCATAGGTTCTTACAGCTGCAGAAAAAAGGATTTCCCGCCAAATCTATAGACCTAAGATTTGCCATGAAGGACTCTGGAAACGATGTGTCGTTGAATACATTTATATAATTAAAGTCCAAACGCAATGTCTTTAGTGATGATATGCTACCGAAAACTTCTGTTCCATTCCATGATCCAATGTGATTTTTAGTCAAGTTTAACACTTCAAGTCTTTTCATTTTGCTAAAGATATCAGTTGGAATGGTTTGAAATTTACACGATTTTATCGTTATTCGTTTTAAATTTGTCAGATTTGATATCATTTCTTTAAGAACACAATCGGTAAGATTAAAGTAATTGTCACTGAGGTCTATTGCTTCAAGTTTGGGAATTCCGCTAAATATTAGAGTACTGTTAAAGTATAAATACCTTGCAGATTTCAAAAAAGCAAAATGATTCCTTGAAAATGACAATTCCTTTAATGTCTGACTTCGGAATGGAAACGCTTCTATATTATACAAACGATCACCCAAATGATTCAGATGTAGAACTTGCAATGACGGCAGATCGGAAAATGTGTCTTTTAGAATTTGCTTGACGGGATTTCTGTCTAGGACCAATACTTCTAGTTTGTCGAGGCAAGAAAAACGATTTTCAAAATGATTGACAAAATTTGAGGTCAAATTCAAAACTTTCAAACTTGGAAAGTTACAGGTTCCAGTAGAATTGAATAATGTGTAATTTACATCAACATAATTGTGGTGGATTCTCCAAATCTCAAGTTTCCTTAACTGACCTGGTATTATATGCTCTATATCATTATACGCCACATTTAATGAGGTCAAGTTTGGGACGTACTGTTCAAGTGCGCTCATATTCAAAGATTTGAAATAATTTCGGGACATTTGCAATTCAGTGATGTTGTACTTTGAAATTGTTTCATAAATGCTTATCGGTTCACTTTTCCAACCAAATGAATTAAGTTTTAAAATCGTTATATTAGGCGATTCAATATTCCGAAGGCATTTTGCTAACTGTGTAAAATTCATTTGACCATTTCCACTTAAATCGAGATGTCGCAGATGTTTTAATTCACTAAGTGCATTAGCTGTAATATTTTCTATACGATTATGTCTCAGAATAAGAACTTGCAATTCTAAATCTTTAATTAGGTTAAATGTTCTCTTTTTTACCTCAGGTAAATTCATACCGGTATAGGTAAGACTAGTGATATAATTTGGGAAAGCTGGGATACCGGCGTATAACCTATTCTGGCATTTAGCTTCACATGTTATTTTGTTACAAGTGCAAAACTGTGGACATTCTATTGAAGAAGCAGTGTGAAGCAACGTAAGGGAGATCACTCCAAATAAATATACAGGTATGATGATTTTCATACTGGTCATGGTTGTAGGTTTAATATCTGAAAAAGAAAATAATAAACGATGTTTCATGGTTGACAATTGGTTAGCTTATTTATTATATTCACAAGTAATTTGGTGTTAAAAAGTTAGTATGATATTTTGTTTTGCACACTTAACATAATATACTTTTGGTTTTGTTTAAGATCAAATGAGGAAAAAGAAGGTTTTGTGTTGCCGATCTAATTCATAATTCTGTCAGGAACCAGAAAGAAAGCCGCTTATATTGAAAATAATTATAAAGCAAAGTTTTTCTATTATCTTAAGGTGTATACCTTTATTGCACCTATGCTCCAAAAACACTTCATACACACAAAATTTATATAGTGTAATTATAAAGTGTAATTTTAATTTACTAATACAGGGTCGATCGACACCACTGCTAATGGACTGTTACTCTCCGGTTTATCTTGAGCTCAGTAGCCAGTATTTTGATACTGACATGATTGATAACATATGGTCTATTTGCACCGTTGATGAATTAAGAAAACACGCAGAAACTAAGATTTCAACTCTCTCAGACAAAGTTGACCTCAGTTGAATTTTACTATTCTTTTTATTGCCCTTTTCATTATTATGATCATAAAGTTTCTTCGTATTTATAGGTTATATCTCTGACTTTCAAATTTTGGTGTGAATTGTCCTGATGAAGATATATTGCGCTTCATATGCACTGAATTTATAAAGGATCGTTTTAATTTACAAGCACTGACTTATGGTTATTGCTACGTATCCATATCTTCCTGACTTTCAAATGTTTTTGTTGAGCTTTCCTGGTGAAGATCAATCAAAAGCGTAAAGGATGCTCGAAATTTAACCAAAATAAAATCGTTTTCATATACTAACGCCAAGTCGTTGCAACTGCTAGCGCACTGATAACCCCCGAGGGAATCAGCATCTCAGTTGTCTGTTAATCGGTTTTAAGAAGATTTATGAAACACATTTTGTTTAAATTCTTCTTTGATAAATTTTGTAAGTGTCCCTTTTGGTTATATAACTCCTAACGTATCTAAGTATTCATACACCACTGGCTTTCAAAAGTTTGGGTTTGAACGATTCTGATGAAGGTGAATCATTTCCAGAAAAGTTTCGGACGCACGAAATTTATAGAGTGTTGTTTCAATTTACTACCACTTGATCGATACTTCTGCTAGTGGACTGTTAGTCCCCGAGTGTATCATCAATTTAGTAGGCATTGCTTCAGGACTGGCATGATTTGTAACGTCTAAAATTCCTATTGATAAAGCCAGAAATTACTAGGATACTAATGATCAATCTTCCTAAGGCAAAGTTGACCTTAGATGAATTTAGTTATTCTACATGTCCATTTTGGTTATATAAATTCTTAACGTTTCTTTGTATGTAAGTAGGCTTTCATGAGGGGCCTGGTGGGTTATTTTCGTTCTTCGTGATCCGTTTTTCTACAGATTTTTTTTTTTATATTTTCGTGATCCGTGATTATGGAAATTTATTTTCTGTGAATCGTGATTGACAAAAAAATCAACTCGTGAATCGTGATGAGACCCCCATCAGGCCCCTCTTTCATATGTTTGGGTTTAAGCGTTCCCGGTTAATGTTTATAAAAAAAAACGTATCGGACGAAATTTATCAAGAGTTCTTTTTATTTTCCATGAGTAGCTTTAAAGAGGGTCTTTTGATTAGAATATTGCGTTTTGAATACATCAATGCGATTGCAATGAATTACATGCATAGCCGATCCCTAACTTATGTTTTTAGTATATCTAGTCGATTGATATATACTTCTTATGTAGGTGTTAAGATTTTTTTTCATATCTATCTTTCGCTTTCCAAACATTGTTATCCCATACTTTAAAGGGGCACTTGCTACGAGATATATAGAAATCTAAAATATGAATATTTTTTTTGTTCAATCATTAATGATAGTGAAATAGTGAAATAATAATTCGCTTTTAGCGGCCAGTATGGTTCAATTTGGTCAAAATAAGTTGAGAAACATTGATGATGAATTATTCACTTGCAAGTGAATAATTCGACCTCGTTAAATCCGTATTCATGTGAACTTCAATTTAACCCCTTAGCTAGAGATGCATGAATCGTGTGTTCTGAGTTATTTAAAGGAAAAGAATGTCAACAGTGAAAGTGAAACAAAGGTAAATCATTTGATTGGCTGATTCAATCCACAAAACATCATTCTTATACAGGTAAAAATGATGATTAACATATATTTTTAATGTATAATATGAAATTAAACAGACCTAGAAAAATCGAATTGCACGATTTTTTTTATCTTATTTATATCTATATTTATATGTTTATATCGCTTATATGTTCATCGGAGGTTTTCGGAGGTCAACTCTATAGTTAATTAGACGGCATCTAGACTAAAATACACACGAAACGAAACTACATATTCTCGAGCCTATGCCCTGTAAATTGTTTATTTCGGACTTTTTACAATTTGGATAAATGTTTTACATGGTTATAAATCAAATATGAGAATTTGAGTCAAAACGGTGAACATGAATTTGACAGCTAGTGCCCCTTTAAAGACTTTGAAATTTCAAACCAATTACAGTAACACAACTGTGTATATCTTAACATAAAATGTATCAGCAACGCCCTAACCCGGGTAGATAAATATCGAACTTCTCTTACCTGAAATAAAACTTTACACCCGCCATTCACGAGATATGAAAAGAATTGTAAATCGATCGTCACTATTACCTTTACAATTGAAATATTTAATATATATATATATATATTCCACGAAGTACACTTCCTCATTTATCACAAGATCAATACATTTGAAGAAGGGAAATATATCTTTTAAATACATGTTAAAAATAACTTGCTATTTATATTCGGACAATTCAAGTTGATATAAAAGCAAACTGTTATCCACCTCAGATACCAAAACATTAAACTTCCTTTTGAAACTAAACACTCTTCAAATTATATAATATTTAAACATGTGCATTGAAGAACAGTCGAGCAACGTTCAGGACTGCACCAAATGCAGGATGACTAAGATATCACAAAATATGTTTACTTTATTAGACTGAATACTTGCTCGTTGTCCGGAATTTCAAAGGTGAATGACCTACAATTATGACTAGGGAAAGGGGGGGGGGGGGGGGTGGGGGTATGTCCAAGAACCTCTATTGATTTTGAGCAATGTTTTGCATTCTTGCAGTTTCCAAACACAATATTGACTCTGATAGTGTTAAATGATTTTGGAAAGGGGTTAGTAGCTCTACCAGTTTATCTAACCATTTACCATGAAGATTACTTTTCAAGTTTCTTCCAAATATTGCATTTGATTCAGTTGATCCGTCAAATGCTTATACGAAATATTGTTTCCCCAAATTAATCAAATGTGTCCCGTCTAATTTAGAACACAAATAGTAGTAACAGATAATCTTAAACTCTCAATAATTATTATTCATTATCATTAATCAAAATTGCTTATCAATTAATTACAATTTACCTGATCTGTAACTGTCATATCTATAATTCTTCAATACTTCCTTATTTGTAATTTCCGTATGATTATATGTGATAAACTTAATATGAAGGTCACGTAGGTATTTGATTAAATTAAGCTAAATATAACTGTATATTGGTTTCGAAATAGTTTTCAGTGAAAATATTTAAATCATGAAATGCAACATATGAATAAAACGGATTTGACTTTATTGTTTGTACTCTTTGGTTTGATTAGCTTTTCAATTTTATGTATAAGTTATGGATTTTCAAATATTTAGGACTCGGAGCATCACTGAAGAGCCATTTATTGTCGAAATCCGCAGCTAGGGCAATAAAATTGGTACCATAAATATTATTACTAGTAAAAAACGACTACTATAACACAACGCGTTATAATAAATTGATAATATTGTTTATTTGACTAAATTCGTTATAACTAACTACTTTTTAACAGAAAACGAGAGACGGGTTCAATAGCACTACACACACTATTGGGCAAGTTCACTTCATTACGTACATATATATGCTTTTTCAGCGAACTGTTATTCATTCTAACATAAACACAAAGATAGTGTATGATTGCAAATGAGACCAAGTCCAAATAACGTAGATGCAAGCAATAAAAGGTCAATTACTATATAATATCCAACACATTCTAGAACCAACATGAAGACATGAATAGGCTTTAGTTAAATTATGCACGGTTATTTTTAATATTCTAAGTACTTTGCAATTGGTATTTGCTGCTCATCCGCCAAGCACACTGCATTTAAAAGTAAGAGCAGAGACTGTGGTCAATGCCCAAGTGCCTTTGATCAGAATGTATCTGTTTCAATATTTCCCCTAAAATGCCATTATGGGCATTCATTATTCATATCATATTGTAAATGAATCCAATTTCAAACACTATACTAATGTATAGGTAGTATTTCTTTAAGCTCTTCATGATCATAAAAGTATAACTTAGGTTTCTATACAAAGAAAAATCAAAGTGACACTTAAAGAAAGCCTATCGAATTGTCTCACCATAATAATATAAACTTATTAAAGAAGAAACCTACTTGTGTGAAATATAACTGCTCACACTGAGAAATGCTTTGCTAGCTGCTCTGCTTTGTTATGAGAAAAAAAGTGACTATAATGGACACATTAGTCATATGGTCAATATCCCAACATGGGTGACCAACATGTTTTCGCAGTCTTAAATCTTTAGATACCAGAATAGTCGTCTTATTTGCAAACCGATTGCGTAGTATTCACGATTGTGATAATTACTAAGTCAGGAATATAACACTTGTTTTCCGTTCGTTTGATGTATTTGAGCGTTTGATTTTGCCATTTGAAAAGGGACTTTCATTTTTGAATTTTCCTTCGAGTTTGGTATTTTTGTTATTTTACTTTTGACTGAGTGTGGATTCGCATTGCGCACAGCAAGAGACGCTAGTTCCTCATATACATTCTCAATCTTTTCAATTTTGCAGTAATATTAAAACATGATATTCTACGCTTTCAATAACTATTCCTCGTGCTTATTTTTAAGATTGGCTACATCATCGCATTAAACAGAGCCTTTTCTACATAAATGAGAAACGTAGGTACCAATTTCTTGTTTTGGGTTATGAAAAATCTTACTTCTTGAAGACCTACACTGATTTCAACACCAAAATGCACCGAAGTTGATATTATAAAAATGCTGAGGTCTTTGATCGACATCTTATTTGTTGAGTTTGATGGATTGATATTTCAGCAGACAGTCGGTATTCCAAAGGTTACTAGCCTGCTTTTTGGGACTCATATGCAGCAAATCTCATTTTTCCGATAGACAAAACAAAAAGCCACTTATTTTAATTTCCGATAAATTGTGATGTTCCGTCACTCAATTACCCACATTTCCATGAGAGATTACATCTTATATATCACAGTGAACTTTAAATTCAGGATAATACCGAAAGTAGAATGTCTGCTTCGATTTTGTCATTTGTTTAAGGAACTTTCAATTTTTGAATATTCCTTGGAGTTCGGTATTTTTGTTATTTTACTTTTTACAATCTTTGATCTTTTCCTCGATAGCGACATTCAAACTAGTATTTATGACAAACATGATCATTTCAACTTTCTATTTTACAACTTCCCATTCCTCAGCAAATCGATACCCCTTTTCCATCTTACGGTGTTTACATACAACAGTTAAAACATGCATGTTCACACTATACTGAATTCAAAGGGGATGTGCTTCTTACATAACAACTTAAACAACAAAATTATGAGCATGAAACACGACTGTCATCTACAATACATAGTTTTACGATCACCATCACAAAATGGTTGACCGATACGATTTGTATGTATCTAAATTTACTAGCGACATGTTTTCGCGGTCTAAGATTTTTAGATACAAGTACAGTCATGTAAAATGTTATTTTACAGATTTTGTCATATTTCCGATTATAACAATTTGACTGAGTGTGAATTCGCATGGTGTTTTTTGAATGCATGTCATCCTGGTTTCGCTTCTTGTGGAGTTTTTGCGATTCCCTCATTTTCATTTCTAACATTCAATTTTCTCTTCCTTCTCGATTAACGAGATTTTCACATCGCTTTACTAATGTCGCCTTATTTTGCCCCTTCGCTGTACCAGATGGTTTCGCTCCTTTTAAAGTTCAAGCGATTCCCTTCGTTTTTAATATTATTTATTTTATTTTTTAACTATTTTTATGGATTGATGAGATAAGTACATCGTTAAATTCTCTCGCCTCAATGCTATTTGAGAGAGAAATAGAGCAGATGGTAATACAACAGCAAACTAAACATCGATGGTCTAGTAAAAGTGAGGGGGCCTCGGTGGCCAAGCTGTCTAAGTAGTTCTACTACTTTAATCACTAGCCAGTCAACACTGAGGTTGTGAGTTCGAACCCCGCCCGTGCGGGTGCACTCGACTCTAATCTTAATTGACTAGGATTACCAGTTTTCCTATTGAAGGTCCGTATTTTTCTCCGGGCCCTCCGGCTTCCTCCACCAATAAAAAACTGGCCGCCACGAAAAAGCCCAAAAGTGGCGTTAAAACACCAACAATTAATCAATCTAGTAAAAGTGATGTTCTTACTAATCAGAAATCTAAGTATTACAGAACAATAAAAAACCAGCTACTTGAACATGACAAATCAACAGGAATTATAATTTCCTGAAAACTTAAATACAGGGATAGTGATGCAACCGTATATTGAATATCAACGTTCTAAAATATGTGCTTCATTTTCCATCACACTTATTGCATTGGATATCATTATGAATAAAGTAAAACTTTCAGTTAGAGCATGACTAAGGATACAGTCTATTTATTTTGTTGCATGAAACTGATATACAGCAATTCAACTGAATATCAATATCTAATCAGAAAACTTACCATTTAAACGATCTAAATATTCCAGTCAAACCTTGAAAGAGCTCCACACTCCTACCAAATCTGAATTGTGTGGATGATAAAGCAACAGTTTAAAATATATCAATGTGCATACCATTATACTTCTTTATAAGCACATCAAATAAAGAAATCGCTTTACAAAGTTGAAATTGCTTGAACATGTATTAGGCGCGTGACCTCTAAGAAAACATGAAATTAGATGTACGATAGCTGGTACAACTTTATTTCAAATATCTAGGTAACTTAGTAAAAATTCAAAAATGAGGGGTTTTAAAGATAAAAAGATAACAATTGCTGATCACGAGGATTAATATTATCTTATTTTTTTCTGGCAAAACAAATACTTCCCAAATTCAAATTTTCATCATCCAATTGTATTCTCTTTTATTCGGGAACATAAATGAGAAGGAAGTACTTATAAATATGCTTGTTTTGATTTTCCATTTAAAGGACTAAAGAATGCAGATTTTATATGAATGTCAGAAAAGAGGATCATACTTGAGAGGGTCATACTTACAAAAAAACTGGTATCATATTTTAAAACTCATCAGAGAAAACGAAGAATAATATGTATTTATGTATCCCTAGTAAGTAAACCCCAATGAGCATCAAACATAATTTCTACTTTTTTAATCACATACATTTTTTTGTACTTCATATAATCTCAATAGCTGCAAGAAAAGCATATGACAGCGTGGAATATTGATATGACAATTTTTTCTTTACAATGTTTGAACTGGAAGAACTGGCGTAATATAGAAATCCTCTGAAATGCTATAGAGCAAATATTTTGTTTAAACAGCAAATTGCAATACAAGAATGAGTGCATTGGATAGAAATTGATCTTATACAAACGTGCACCTAAACATGTACATGTTTAAGACAATGATTGATTTTGAAACATTCAAGTACGATAAAAAAGCAAGATGAATTTTGGTCTGTTTTGTAGATGATCTTATAAAAGTTCAATTTTCAAACAGTTTTGTTCCTATCCAAAATATATTAATATCGTCTTTTAACCGATAATCTTTGATATTTGATTGATAGAATCAAGGTCATAATGCGGAAATCTGAAACTTGATCCATGACAATGGGGTCAACATCATATGAAACCTGTCAGACAGACATGTACACCTAAAAATCATTGTACATACCCAATATAGCAGACCTATTGTTTTAGTATTGTAAGAAATGGATCTAATCACAAAACTTATTGTTGATCACTGATCTTTGAAATTAGGTCAAGTGAGCCCCATCTGACCAACATTTATACATTGCAATAGTTCTATATACCAAGTATCTGTACACCAATCAGCTTAAAATATCGTAATAAGAGCATACCTGTTACTCATTAAATTGTTCTTAATACCCACAATCGAAATTAGTAGAATTCAATATCAGACATTTTCTTATCATTTGAAATAATAAACTTCAATACCAGACATTTTATTACCATGGTAGTATAACTTCTTCAAAAGTAAATAAATGGAGATGAAAGATACATTTGTATATGTCAATAAGACTGTAACCCAACAACACAAACAATCAAAAGATAAAAATAAAGGTCAATAAACAGTATTCAACAATGCACAGGAGTCTATGCAATATGTCAAGTTCTTTATGAAAAACTTTTGTTATTATTATC